GGTGGAGGGTCGACGAAAGAGGGGGAGGCCTTAATCGAGATGGATTGATACGGTGGCTGCGATGATGGGCTCGAGTATAGCAGGGATTGTGGGGCTGGCGCGGGATCGGGCAGTGTTTCATTCTGCTGTGCATGGGGTCGCTATGAGTCAGAAACCACTGGACGGCACTTAACAACAACAACAATGTAGAAAGACACACCCCTCCCCTGCTAATGTCTTTCAATGACTACTCAGCCAACTCCCACTCCGTAGTATCATTGCTGCAAACTCTTTCAAAAAGAATCTCAGCTGTGCTCAGGTTTCAGGTCCTAGAGGCAATCTCACCTGCTTTTCCAGGAACTAGGCCTGCCCTGCGGCTATCAGGGATAGAAAGGATCAAGCACAAAGAGGTTTTTAAATTAGCCTAATTTATAGTACTTGCTCTGTGTGCATTAATTATATTAAGTATAATTACCAAGTAATTTTGGATTCTTAATTATACTAATTATTAACTAATTGAGGATTAGTGGCGTAGTGCCTAAGGCATTTGACTGCTAACCAGAAGGCTGGCAGTTCAAACCCACCAGCCACTCCTAGGAAGGAAGGAAGGTTGGGCAATCTAGTTCCATAGTGATACTGCCTTGGAAACCTAAGGCATCACTACCATGCCATTCCCAGATCCTGGTTGCCTTAGCTAAGACCTGTGTTCGTAACACTTAAGAGCTGGTGCTCTAAGTCTCAGCTTTCTCCTATGGAAAATTAGGGCCCAGCATCATCTCCCTAATTTGAGTCATTTTGTAGGCTGCAGAGAGGAGGGCATTTGATGGTAAGGTAACCTGGCCACCTGGCATGTGTACAAGAACTGTGGCAAGCTGCCATCATCCATTTCCAGAGTGACAGGGGAAATGAACAGCCATGGTGACTCAGGTCTCCTTGACATGGGCTTTGTGCTCACGTCCCAGCCTCTTTCCATCAGGGACCCTTTGTGCCTATTTTCTTTCTTGTACAGGTGGATAAAGGGTTGGGGCAGTGGATAAGACAGCTGGCTGCTAACCAGAAGGTCGGCAGTTTAAACTCACCAGCCACTCTGCAGAAGGAAGGTGGGCAATCTACTTCCATACAGATTTACAGCCTCGGAAACCCAATGGGGGTTGCTATGAGTCGGAATCGACTCCAAGGTAGTGAGTTTGGTGTTTTTGTTATTGGTGGTGGTGGTGGTTGTTGTTATGTGCCCTCGAGTCGGACCCGACTCATAGCGACCCCTCCTTGGGTTTCTGAGGCAGTATCACTAAGAAAGTAGATTGCCCAACCTTTTATACTATCCAGGAATTGTACGTAAAACTTAATTTTGGGGAGTGAGCATTCAGCCAGACCTTCAATGAGATTTTAATTAAGGGGACCCCTGACCCCAAATGGTTAAGAATCACAGCTCTTTGATTATTCACACGTATCCCAGATACATTTCAAACTCCCACACTGCTCTGTAGACAGGGTCACAAAGGATGGTTAAGTAGAACTAAATGTGTGATGAAGACCACAACAGTAAAGAAAAAACAATCAAAACTGAATCTGGGTGCAATTATGGAAAGAAATTCCACGGTATTTAAGTAGATTGTATTTTATTTAGATAAATGAAAATTTGCCCCCAAACAGAATTAGGAAGCAAGTATCATCCTAGACTACAGGAAACAGCTGAGCTTCAAGCTGACAGTAAAGCTAAAATTTCCAGCCTTGACTACTCTATAATTCCACACATCAAAGGAAAATTCTGGAACAAAGTGTCTATGTACAGAGAGAGGCAACCCACATGTACCATTAGCAAAATCGCCTGAGGGGAACGTTTTATATTCCTCAATGACAAGAAGTGGTGAGAGTTTACAAGTCTTGCATTGTTTTCTATCTTACATGGCTCCATAGTAATGCCCAAAATAGCAAAATGTAGGCACTTGCTCCAACTTTTGCAGTTTACATTTGATTCTTATGTACTTAATAAATTAACAGCAGCTGTAGAAATAGAAAACAGGATTGTAGTTCATGCTACTGTTGATAGTCCTGTTGTGAACACAACACTGTGGCTTAACGGACACAGGCACAGAGCTTTATGGAAATAATCGAGGGCACATTCAGACATTAGTACAAAAAGCACAGTTAATGGGCAACTCCTACTGGAAAACCAAAAGCACATGTGGACAGCAGACCAGACACGAATGGAATGAGGTGGCAGGATGGAATTTAAGCAGAAAGTCTGTTTTCCACAAACTACACAGAACTTTAACCTGTTCAACAGCAGAAAGGCTCTTCCTGCTGGAGAGAGTATTCCTCAGTATTCAGAGCTGTCACAAAGTTCTTACTGACTGCTGGCATCTCCATATGTGTTAGTGGATCTTCAAAAACGGACACTAGCACCTGTTTTTTTAAAGTCTCCAGTTGGTTAAGAAGATATTTAAATTACTTCAATTTGAGGATTTTGAAGTTCAAGAATTAAGCACAAGTGGCTATTACACATATTTGAAAATAGCCCCTGCAAGGATGGTCAATGTTTTCCAACTACAAGACCATAACAAGGTATCCTGCTAATATGGCCGAATGATAATTACTATCAGAGTCAGGTTTGTTAACCTAAGACAAAGTACTTTCTACCAGCTACAAGTACAGACTTCCTTGAATGCTGTGTTTTCTAGAAAGTTGAAATTTAAGTTCTCAAACTGGAGACATGAGTTATGAATAAAGTTTAAGATACATGTCAGGCCAGTTTTAGGTGTGATAAAGTAGACCTTCTCAGTAGCTAGGTGACAGACTGACCTCTGGGTGACAACCATCTGATAAAATGCCTGTATGTTACAATGACTCATAAATCATCTGACATTTAAAAATTCCTTCAAGACCACCTTTTATTTGAGGCAAGGCATGCTGACTAATAAGCCATCTTAGAATTGCTGTCTAGAAACATTTGTCATTGTTTTCCAATGCAAAAGCAAAAACTTTGACACAGAAAGTTGACTTTTCCAGGAAGACACCGCCAGATAGAATTGTCCCCAGTAACGTCAATCAGAAAAGCAAGGGCTTTATCCAACATCTCTGGCACACAGTTGATCCTCGAGTGTGTAACTCCACATGGTGTATAGTGGTGTGGGCATGTAGTGACTACTAGACTAGAAGGTTCAGGCTAATCTGCTTCCAGAATCCAATGGACATGTGTGTCAGGCTCCCTAAATTTCTAAGAAAACCAGCAAATCTAAATGAAGCAAATATTTTATTGAAATCATTTGTCAACTCACAATTTATCCAAATAAACATAATGCAACATTGTTCTTAAAAGACTGGGCACAAATATGGCACGACACAATCCAGTATCTATCAAAATCCCATTTTTAAAGAACCTGCCCTATTTCATGCTGTGTGTGAATGTGGTCCAGCATATATGAGGAGAATCCAAAACTGATGACAGTCCATTCTTTTCTTCGTAACATGAAAAGCACTTCACTACTTTGCCTCCAGAGTAAGCACACCCACTGGTCCAACCAACCATAACAATTAGGAGAAAAGATTTGAAGTTAATTTGCTACTGAAGAATACTTCCTTCCAACCTCCCCTGGGCTAGAAAGAAAAATTTCACAGTAACAGTGGAACATTCTATATGTTTCAAAGATGCTTTGGAATTTTTAGCACACTGCAGAATAGAAACGTGCCCAATTTCAGAGTAATACTATACACTGACCTAGTCATTGGTGAAACGTTTAAAGTAAGAATTGTACCTTCTGGCCAGGAATGTTATTTCTGGAAACTCTGTTTTCACAGGTTATAATTGAGGCTGACCACTTCCCAGGACTTCCCCACGGCTGCATGCCCCATTATACGCTGTGTGATACAAAAGCCATGTACTATGTGCACGTCTGCTTACATATTAAGAAAAAATATACACTAGATACAGAAGGATTACTTATGACGTACATATAAATACACAAAGAATGATACTCCAGTCTGAGAAGCAGAAATAGGTATTGCCAACTCCAGTTCCAGGTTAAGGATTTAGGACATGAAATCAGAAACATTATACGGTAGCTAGGGCAAGTCACAGAGGAGTCTGGGAAAGATGATGTGTTAAACGCGAAAGCTCCTGATGGGCCTCAGGGTTGTCAGCGGGGCTCTAGGAATGCGATCAGTCCACGGGCCTGGTCTCCGGCTCTCGGAGTTCTGGAATATTGGTCTTGAGTCTCGAGCAGCATTTGCTTCTACTATTTGTCTTCACATTCTGTTCTTGCAAACAGACAATGGGTTTAACTGTAGAAGGAAGTAAGAATCAAGGTAAATACAATCTCCTTATTCACAAACAGTGGAGGGGCCGTGAAAGTGAACTACGGCCAACTGACGCCCCAGCAATACCACAGTTGAACTCCACCAAAGAGAAAGATGGTGAGGTCCCTATTACATTCCGCCGTGCCTGGGGTTCCCTATCACCATCAGTCAGGCTCACTATATGCACTGGGAAATTAAAAAAAAAAAAAAAAAAGGACTGTTATACCTACAGGGGAATATCCATGCTTTTCTAGAGCATCATCAACTCAATTTCAAGCAGTGTGATATAAACCCACTTTTGGCTTCTAGTTTATAAAAAAAAAAACCTTTGACAAATTAGATGGTACAGTGCTGAGTGGGCACAACGTGTTTCTCACATCTGAGCCACACACACAAACATGCACGTGCACACATCCATGCACCCTTCTTGTACAGCAATCACACTGGGGACAAAGGAAGCCATTATTTCCAGGACACCAAAACCAAATGGTATTTCACTGAGAAAAAAATTAAACTATCCTCGATCTTCTAGCCTACTTGATAGTAATTTCTCCAAAGGTTCTGCATAAAATTATAATTATTTGAACTTTAACTTCCTTTATAACAAATATGCCACCAAATGGCATAAAAGAGGGAAAGAAATCATCTCAATAGAAAAGGATGTTGACTTACGCACTATCTGCAGATTCTGTAAGTTCCAACTTTGCCGACTTTCTCTCTTGTTTGTGTATGTCCTCCTGTGGTTGTGTTCTGAGCTCTTTCTCTGACTCACTATGCACTTTTCTTTCTACTGCTTGGATGTCGTCCTTCTTTTTCAGTTTTGGTCCATTTGTATCTGGGGACTCTTTGGTCAAGTCTCCTGAGGCGTCAGTATCTTCCAGGGCTGAGTTCTGGTTCTCTGGGCAACCAGCAGCATCTCCTTTCTCAGCCCCTTTGGACTCAAAGGGTGACTTGTCGATTCTTTCTCCCAACACGGCATTATCCTGATCTTCCGGTACAGGCTTCGTTCCAACTGCATCTCTCTTCTCCTCTGATGGGTGAATGATCGCTTCAAGCGGCTGCTGGTCATTTACACTGGAGCTTTCTGTCTCAACAGCTATAAGCTTTTCTGAGCCTTCACTCACATCTGTGGAAACATCAGGGTGTGTGGGTTCCACAGTGGCCGCCTCTGAGTCTTCTTTGGTTGCAATACTTTGTGTGTCATCCTGGACAGAGGCCTGGTGTCCACTTTCTTCTTTCTCGGTTTCCTGTCCAGTCTCCTGGTTGTCAGCTTGGGTCACTTGAGTCTGTGCCTTTAAGTCAGATGTAAACACTTCAGCGGTGGCTGCTTCAGTACTCACTAACTGGTCAACAGCGGTCTGCACTACGTTTTGCACCAGTTTACTGCTCTCACTCTCAATTTCCAAAACTTCCTGTTCAGCCTTGGAATCCTCCTCTCGTGTCATGCTCTCTTTGCCTTCCTGACAACCGACCTCTTCATGGCCTTCATCTGGCTTCCATTTCTGTGATGTGGTCTTCTCCCCTTCCAGGTCAGGACTTGCTGCATCCTCAGGAGAAGCAGACCCTCTGACTGGTGGTGACGGTGCCTGAGACACAGTCCCTGTGAGCCCTGCATCTTCCTCTGACTGAGCAGTCAACACTTCATCTTTGTCAGCGGGCTTTTCTTCAGGTACCAAGTGTGCCTCTGCAGACTCCAAACTTCTAGTTCCTGTTTCTAACATCTTGATAGTTTCTCCTACGACCTTTTCCTCTATGGTTGCAACTGTTAGAGTTAATGATGTGTCAGAGCTTTGAACCTGAACTTCTGTGGATACTGCCTCTTCTTGAACGAGGCAAGGAGGAGTGCTTTCTTCAAAACTGGTAACTTCGTTTTCCCCTTCTGCAACAGTCACATTAACTGTCTGAGCTGCTTGCTTACTGAGCTCTTCCGATCTGGTTACAACCGTTTTTTGCTCCAGTTTCTCTTCACTTACTTGGGTTGGCTGTGACTCAGTCTTCTCCCTTTCTACTGGGACTACCATTTCTCTGTCCACTGGGGTTGGAAGAGACTCACTGTGGCTCCGGAGCTCAATATCATCATAAGAAGCAGCATTCTTGTGAAAGTCAGCTTCTTCAGTAACTTCATCTTCAAGGACAACTTCTGTTATCTGTTTCTGACTGACAGTCGTTTCTGTGTCTGTTGACACTTCAAGCCCTTCAGCAAAGGATATGTCTTTGGTTTTCTCATCAGCAAATTGATCGATCTCTTGAATCACTTCAGTCTTGGAAAGAACGGGTACAGCTTCCACTGCTACCTCTTTATCCGTATGTTCTAGAACTTCCTCCATTTTTGATTGTTCTCTACTTTCTTCCTGGGATTGAAAACTAGAAGGCAAGGGAGACATCTCTTCCTGTGCAGGAACTGCCTCTGCTTCTGTGAGCTCTGACTGTATGCAAGGTGCACCCTCACCATCTTCATGGATCTCCTTGATCTTGTCTTGCTGTGCTGTATCCAGAGTTTCAAAGTCACCTACTGGAGTGCTTCCATTGGTCTCATTGTCTGTGAAGGTTTCAACTGAGTCATGAGCAACAGCCTGTTCTGTCGTAATCTCTTGGGATTTGACCCCAACTAAAGTTTCCGCTGGTGAAGTACTTACAAAACCGCTGGATTCTACACTCTCTGGGACTTGAGGCACTTTTTCAGAGCTTTCTGGAGGGGTCTGTACAGTTGCCTTCCCTTGTACCAGATCCTCAGTTTCAGTTTCTTGTTCATCTTCTTTCAACACAGTGTCCAACTCTTTCTTCAGATCTAGCACTTTAGAATCCTCCTGTGCTTCTTCCACCTTCCCTGGTATTTTCGATTCCACCTTCTGGGTGGCCTGAGTTGTGTCTTCTGGCCCACTGGAGTCAGACAGCTGTGATTCTTCCTTAACTTTTTCTGCCACCGCCTGCAGGACCTCTTGAGTTCGTCTCTCTAGACCTGCTAAGTCCGGCACATCACCTTCCACCTCCTGAACTGGTGTGGCTTCCTCTGTAGTGTCCGGCGAGTCAGTTAACTGGGAAACTGCTGAAATCATTTCTGTGGTCTCTTCAGCACCAGATGCTTCTGTCACTTCTTCAGCACAAAATGCCTCTGTTGTTTCTACAGCTGTGACTACTTCAGAAGTTAATTCCACCTCACCAGCAGTCATGTCATCACTGGCATCTTTGCTCTCTGGCAAAGTTTTGGTAACAACAGGAACTTCTTCAGCAGTAACTTCTCCTTCAAGTGCCTCATCAGTTGGTTTAGCTTCATCCTCTGCTTGTTCAAGAGGTTCTGTCACTGATGCAGATATCCAAGAAGGAGACCTCTCTTCAATACTGGTGACTGCCCTTGTCCCGTCAACAACAGTCACGGTCACCGTATGAACCAGGCTCTTACTGAGCTCCTCTGACACGTACACAGCCACCTTTTGCTCAGGTTTCTCTTCGTATTCCAGAGCCTGCTGTGCTTCGATTTTCTCCCGTTCTACAGCATCGTACTCAGACAGAGGGACCACAGCTGGGACATCAGAATCATCTTCATTGACTTCTGTTGGGCCTGTATCCTCAACAGTGGCTTGTTCTTGTTTCCCATCTAATCGTTTCTTCCTTCGTCCAGGAATAAATTTCTTAATTGAAACCCAAGACTCTTCCTTCCCGGGTTCAATGTCTGAAGCTGAGTGCTCTATACCAGACCCAGTAACAGAATCTTCACTTTTCTCTTCCAGTTTTGACTTTGATTTTTTTCTTGCAGTGACTAATCTTTTAAATGACTCCCAGGTGGAAACTCCCTCACCTTCAGATGGGCTTCCAGCTTGTTCAGGTGAAGAACTTCCCTGTACTTGATCATGTTCTTGGGAATTAGCAGGGACACAGTCCATCCCTGTTTCTTTGTCTCTTCCTGCTTCTTCTGTTTTTTGGCTGTCTCCTCCCACTGTTTTTGGCCCCCCTTCTTCATCAGAAGATGATGCTTTTCTTGCTCTCTTCTTGGAGGATCCTACACAGATTAAAGCTTCCCAAGATACGGAAGTGTCGACCTTGCGCTTTGGTTCTTCCAACTTTTGCTCCTCTCCATTTCCTTTGATCTCCTCTTGCATTTCAGAGGCCGCACTCTCAGTGGAAGACAAGGTAGCACTCTTTGCCTTGTCCAACTCATCTTCTTTATCACTTTCAGAAGGCCTTCTAACACGTTTCTTGGGTGTTACCATCTTTTTGAAAGATGCCCAGGGAGTAACACCTTCTCTTTTTTTCTCTCCATCAGAAGTAATACCTTCTTCAACTTCCCCATCCTGTTGTACATCTGCTACTCCTTTCTCTAGACAGGTAATGTCCTCAGGCTCTTCAGGGGAGGAAGCAGAACTGTCACCCTTCTGTTCATCTGTACTATCTGGAGACTCTGGGGGAACTTGACTGTGTTCCCCTGACTCTTCCTCTCCTCCTCCTCTCCTCCCTTTCTGTTTCTTTCCAGAGAGCTTTTTTAAGCCAGTACTAGTAAAAAGTTTCTTTAAAGGGCTTCCTTGCACCTTAGTTCTCTCTTGTGCTGACAGCACTTCCACTTCACTCACAATGCCTTCTGGGTGTTTAGGGGACACTTTTTCTTCAGGACTTAGTTCAGTGAGCTGGGTATGGTCCTCTCCAGGAGCACGTACTTCTTCGGTCTTTACCAGTTCCTCCACAGGCTCAGCTTCCTGCGGTTCAGCATTTGTTTCACCAGATTTCTCAGGTGGCAAGGACTCTGCTGCGTCTTCTACCTCAGCTTTCTGCTCCTCTATTGTCGTCTCCTCAGTACTGACATGGACCTCTGCAACAATCTCTACTTTTTCATCAAATACTTCAGTTGCTAAAGGAGCAACTCTCTCTTCAGAAGGTGCCTGCAAGTCATTAACTTGGTCTTCACAGGGCAGCTCTATTTTTTCATATTCAGCTGAAAGCCTGGCATCATTAACCCTTTCTCTACTCTCCTGTGGGTCTGGTTGTTCAGAAGCACTTGGTTTCTCAGAGGTATCCTCTGTCTTTCCATTTTCTTCTGCATCTACTTTTTCTGGCTCTTGTTCCTTTTTCTTCTCGGTAGCTTCCAGTTCATCCTCCTTTGGCTTCCTGAAACTGGTCTTTTTCCTCCAGCCCGCCCAACCTTGAGTGAAGAATTTTTTGAAGGGTGATGCCGTCTCGTTGGTCACTGGACTGGCTGGAGATTCTGGAGATTTGCTAGGTTCTTTTTCTCGTTTTTCTTCTCCTTCTTCCTTGACTTCCTCCAATGCTTGTTCAGACTCAGCCTTGAGAGTGATTTCATCATTGCCTTGCTCACTTTTAACTGTTTCTTCAGGTTTCTCTGTAGACTGTTTCAGTTCACTTTCTTTGGGAACTTCTTCTCCAGCCTCCAAGCTGGACTCCTGGTGATCACCAGCTCCATTTGAGCCTCCTGCTCCTTCAGCTTCATCTTTTTTGACAGTGAGTAGTTGGACATTTTCAGACTTCTCGGACTTATCCTTTTTCACAGTGAATTTAAAGCCAACAAACTTAAATACCTTCTTAAATCCAACATCATTAGACTGAGACTCAGTAGGTTGTGTTAACTCTTCTAAATTACTTTCTGAAGAAGGAATCTGCTCAATTATTTCCGGTGTTTCCTCCTGCTTGTCCTCTGTGATGTCTTGAACAGTTGCTGATTTAGCAGTCATCTCTTTAGCTGAGTCCTTTTCACTCACATCTTCAGACTCCCTCTGTCCAACTATTAACAAAAAAAAAAAAAAAGAAAGAAAGAAAGGGAGAAGCAGAAGAAGAAGGGGAAAAATTATTACAATTCAAGAAATTTAAATATTTGTACATCACTAATTAATACTTTCTTTAATGTCAGCCATGTCTCTTCCCTCACCCCCAAAAAAGGGCAATTCCAGGTTAGCATAAGGGTCTTAATTATATTTGTAAATCATAATAGACCAGACAATAGCAGCTTCTTTCAAATGACCTTTAAAGATTAAAGGTTCAAAGGTACTATTCTGCTCAATTTCATGTAAGGCATTCTGCTGATGTAGTGGATAAGGCATTTGGCTACTAATTAAAAGGTTGGTGGTTTGAACCAACCAGCTGCTCTATGGAAGAAAGATGGGCAGTCTGTATCCATAAACATTTACTGCCTTGGAAGAAAGATGAGCAGTCTGTATCCATAAACATTTACAGCCTTGGGAAACCCAATAGGGACTGCTATGAGTCTGAACTGACTTGATGGCACTGAGTTTGGTTTTGGTTCTATTTCATGTAAAGGGAAAATTAGCAAGCCCAACTCACAAAAACTTAGATACATGTAAGTAACTAGATAGTGCATCTTCTGTTGCAATTCAAAATGGACTCATACAGCACACCTATGATTTTCAACTAGAACACATCAAGTTTTAGATACCACTTCCACTAAATAGAAAATAGTTGTTGTTGTTCGGTGCCGTTGAGTCAGCTCCAACTCACAGTGACCCTATGTACAACAGAATGAAACACTGCCCAGTCCTGTGACAGCCTCAAAATCCTTGCTATACCCAAGCCCACTGCTGAGCTAAAGAAGAATATAAACAAGTATTTAGATAAATCTAAAGGAGGGGATATTCCCTACATGCAAACTAGCCTGGCTTCTTCAGAAAGTTCCAAAAAGGGACCAGAGCTCTTTGGAGAAATTCCAGGTTTGGGGCAGGGAAAGTACAAGGAACACTTTCTACTGACAGAAAAGAAGTGCTCAAAAACTGACATGGACAGGTCAAAAGGACACAGGAGCCAATCTGAAGGGACTCCAATTGGCCAAATATTGGAACTTAAAAAATAATGATAATTGTAGCTCATAACACATTGAACAAAAAAAATGAATTAATCAATAGTTATATTAAAAATAAATGGCAAGGCTCAGAAGAAAGGCCTGGTGATCCATTTGGAAAAAAATCAGCCATTGAGAACCTTCTGGAGCGCAATTCTGCTCTGACACACATGGAGTCACCATGAGTTGGGGTTGACATGACAGTAATTGGTTGTTTTTCTTTTTAAAGAATATTTAAGGAGGAGTTCCGGTAAGATGGTGGAGGCAGAAAGACCGCACAGACCCTCTTCAACAAACAAAAGGGGAACCAATTAATACAGATACAGAAGATAATCCTGGACCCCTGAGCCTTGAAGGGAAGGATACAGAAGTGGACTAAACTCCAACTAGCAGGAGAATTTACATGAAAACACCAAAAAAGGAGACATATGGAGCTGCAGTCTGGCAGCGATCCTGACAACACAGACAGCTTGGATATTGCCGAGTGGTGGTAGTACCTAAGACTAAGAATTAACCTAAAAACTAGCCCTGCTAGCCAGGGACTACATGGAGGACTGCTCTGGTGGCTGGTGAATAAAAGGGGAAGCAGCG